AATTAGGCAACGTCACGTGGATTGCATTTTGCAAAAAGGAACCACAAGCATTCCACTGTCGCTAAGTTAGTGCAACTTTTTTTAACTTGCAAATGAATCAAAGAGATCGAAAACACACGAACTCGGTAATTCGAAAATGCTCAACTTTCATTAAATACGGTCAATATTTATAAAGGTTATTGAAGTTAGTGCATCTGTTCCAACTTGGTCCTTTAAAATGTCCCTAAGTGCCTGTTTTTCGGCACCAAAAATATTTTTCTTACATTAATTTCTTCATCTATTGTGCAATTTTGTGTGTGTCTTGATCACTTTCATTTTTCCGAGTTGGTGTGTTTTCGTTCTCACTGATTCAAATATGAACTGTTCACCTAAACAAGTTTTATCTTTACTCCTAAAAGCTATAAATTCAATGCAAAAATTACCTTTGTAAATTTAATTTTCAGTAAGGTTTCAGTAATTGTGTCGCAAGGTATGTAAATCGGATAAATATGAACGGATCACCTAAACAAGTTTTAACCTTACTCCTAAAAACTATAAATTCAATACAAATATTCCCTTTGTAAATTTTTAATTTTTATACAGTAAGGTTTCAGTAATTGTGTCGCAAGGTATGTAAGTCGCACAATCCTAGCAATATTGGAATGCTCTTGGTTCCTTTTTGAAAAATGCAATTTACTTGCAGTTAGACTCATTCCGGTTAAATCTGAACAATAGTAGAGTCCCCGGAAGTCATAAAATGGACAGTAAAAAGTTTACTATTCTCTCGACGAGTGGACCTCCTTTCTCAACGAATAATTGTTTTTTTGTTTTTTTTCTTTTTTTGCTGGACGCAATATGCATAGTTCTCAATTTCTCTGATCGGACGAACCGGTTTTGCGAGCCTCGGATGGCTCTACTCTACGCAATAATCAACGTCTCATATTTTCATAGCGATGGGTGCATTGGATACCGTCGTGTCACACAACTAAACCGGTCGATACTAAAACCTAACATGCTCATTCATTGACGAACCCTGAACTCTATGAGAACCCGTATATTATACGGCTCATCAGATTCAATGCCATGCTGGCCTTTCCTATCGAACGCCACGAGCCGGCGCCTCGGCGGAGCACAGTGGGTCGAGTTAATAGGAGAGGTCGGACAAAATTTGGAAACCTTAAACGCTCATAACTCCGTTTCAACAAAATTTTGAGATTTTAAAGGTGGTTCCATTGGTTTTCTCGTGAAAAATCCGTCTTCTAGCACCCCAAATTGTGACGAAATAAACATCAAAATTTGCAGTTTTCGTAAAAAATTTAATATCCGACCTCTCTGATTGATTCGAACCACTGTGCGGCGTTGGCGCAATAGGCCTTACGTGACATGTAGACTCGCCTTTTTCTATCGGAAGCGATAGACAAGCAAGTGATCTACAATGTAGCAGCTCCCTCGAGCAATTGCCCTTGTAACTTGTTTCACGATGATGCGGGGATCGCCTTTGCGCCTTCAATTTCGACGGATGCAAAATTATGTACGCGTATTCTATTCTCACAAAATACTCAATTTATCAACTCCTTACGGGAGTTATGGGACGGGGCCCCTTGCCGCCGCGATACCACCTCATAGGGACTCTTGACGCCAATGAATAACGAAGGTGATTTGAATCAGTGATAACGATAACACACCAACTCGAAAAAATGAAAATAATCAAAATACACGCAAAACTGCACGTTAGTTGAAGAAGTTAGCACAAGAAAAATATTTTTGGTGCCGAAAGACGAGTACTTGAGGACACTTTAAAGGTCCAAGTTGGAACAGATGCGTTAACTTCAATGACCTTTATGAAAACTGACTCTCTTTAATGAAACTTAAGCATTTTTTAGGTGGGAGAGTGAAATAGCTGAGTGACCTTTTCGTTTTAGTTTTTTTTGATATACCTAAAACATAACATAGTGGAAGAATAGTGTTGGTTCAACAATGTACTGCGAGGAAATTAAGGAAAAAAATGCCAAAAATTTCCATTAGAGCTCAAAAAATTGAACCGCAATGATAAATCCGATTGAACTTTATAAAATGCCTGGAATGGAAATTTTTAGAACTTTTGGCCTTGACTGCCCCGCAAAAAAGTGTGAACCCATTACTATTCTAGAAATCTGTTACTCATAGTTCGGGCCACCTGTTTAGGATTTCTTTTCTCGCCTGAAACGTAATGAAGCCTGTCATGAGGCTGTTTTTTTCCGTCATATTCTTGTAAATTGTCGCAAATTCCTGAGAAAAAAAATCATCACGCTCTGTTTCCATAAGGCCATAATTGAATCAAAAGGAACTATATCCATTTTGACATGAACCCTAAAATCTATGAAAATACATGCATATATATTAAAGTAATACTAGAAGATAAGATTAATAAATATAAGCCTATTAGTGATAAGATCAACAACTCCGCTCCACCAACCATCATTATCCCCGATGTAATGCCTCCAGGCGGTTCCGGGGCTTTATTAAGTTAGTAATAGTATAGTTAAGTTTATTATAGTTTAAAATTAGATCAGTCTAAATTTTGTCAAATATGTAATTAAAACTTAATAAAGAAATTTAAAAAAAAAAAAAAAAAAAAAAAAAAAAAAAAAAAAAAAAAAAAAAAAAAAAACATGCATGACATAACTCATGTCTCAATAGATATAGTTCCTGTTGATATAGGTGCAGCCATGTAGTGTGTTCCCACTAAGACTTATTTGGCATGCATTAACAGAATCGTAAATAAATCACAAAATCTGTCCATCGGTTTGGAAAGACGGCACTACATGAGCATATTCCGTTTGAATTTTGGCCAACCGACATATTTGGATAATACTATGAAGGAGAGTTTGCGCATGCTTAAATTTTATCTTAAGCCTTAATCATAATAAAAACTCATATTACTGAGGGCTCATAACGTTACAAAGATAAATTCTTGTTTTTTTTAAGCTGTCTAATTGCCTATGAATCCGCATTTTCTCGCTCAGCCTTGTGGCCAGTCTTGCACAGTCACCAATTGTGCGGAAATTCTTGCCATTTAACATCATGTAAAATTGAAAAAGGGAATAAATTTGCTCGAGTACATTTAGATGAAAAGAAAAAAGCAACTTAGACTAGTCGTAATTGTATGCAGATGGATGTTGCCAGAGATTTAAGCGAGATGAGTAAATAAAAGGAGAAAGAGCATCGGTGCTCCTAAGTCATTAGAATCAATTTTTGATCAACATATTTTTACTAAATTTCAAAATATTTTAGAGCTGCTTGATTGCGAAAAACGTTTGGAATTATAAGCTGAGCAGGTGTAATGCTGTTATCCTTTGATAACAAGTAATTGTATTATTCTCTGAATTGTATTCTACAAATATTCACGATGGTCCTTCATCGGATTCAAAAAGATGTGTTCCATTACTTTTCCATCTCTCACTGAAAAAATTCTGTTTAAAATACAGGTGAGCTTGACTGTGTGTATGATTTGACAACGTACGAAAATCTACGCGATACGTGATCTTTGTACGAAAATTAATTAATAAGGCACATGCGAGATTAGTATGCCGATATGACTTGATGTTTAGTCCAAATGTGTAGTTGAAATATCTAGTAGATTTCTCGGAGGGTGCGTGTCAGTCCAAAATATATGTAATATCGCAGAAGATCATACGTCTTAAAAAACTTGAGTAATTTCCGGTCATTCTAGTACATTGCCCATGAAGAGCGCTCTTTGGATTACTACCATTGCTCGGTTGGATCAATATCATAAAGGAAATAAATGGATTATCTAACGGAGTCATATTTTATGGAGCTATAGCTGAATCGAAACTTGAAAAGATGAAATTTAAATCTATTGCATCATGCATGTGTCATAATGAAGTCATATTTTCTCTTTAAAGAGCGTCAAATACTGTAAATCCAACTTCCGGACCCAACTCGAGAAAATCGCTCCTCTGAAAAAGTTTCTTCCGTGCGCCGAGGACGTTTGTAAGGCGTAAGGATTTATGTTTTGAATTTATTCCACAAATACAAAAATCGTCACTTTTTTGCATTAGCGGTACTTATTTTTAAGGTGGCTGGCATACCTTGACCCTTGAAAAAGTGGAATATTTCACGGCCTCACGGTATTTCATGCCGTTTGGCACTAAGATTTCATATTTTTCAACCTCGCACACCCTGCATGAAAAATACACGTAGGAGAATGTGTAAGATTCATAAAACAAGTGTGATGTGTGTTGCAGACTGGGCGTTTATGAGGCGTGAGGATCTGTGTTTTTAATTTTTTCTACAGATACAAAAATTGTTCCTTTTTCGCATTAGCGGTACTTCTTAAGGTACATACCTTCACCCTTGAAAAAGTGGAATATTTCACGGCCTCACGGAATTTCATGATTCCTTTCACTGAAATCTCATAATTTTCAACTTTGCACGTCCTGCATGAAAAACATACTTAGGAAAACGTGTAAGATTGGTAAAATAAGTGTGATGTGTGTTGCAGACTAAGCGTTTGTAAAGCGTTAGGATTTGTGTTTTGAACTGTTGCCACAAATACAAAAATCGTTCCCTTTTTGCATTTGTGGTACTTTTTAGAATGGCTAGCATACCTGCTTAGTCATTGAAAAATGTGGAATATTTCAAAGCTGTACGGAATTGTATGACGCTTCTTATTGAATTTTCATCTTTTTTAACTTTACCCACACTGAAAAAAAAACTCATTGGATCTAGAGTCCAGACCCTTAAAAACATCGACAAGAAAAAATACTCCTGATTCAATCGGATTTTTGCTTAAATCAAGAACCAAGCCTCTTAATTTGAGCGGATTTCCTTTTGATTTAAGGTTAAATCTGATTGGTACAAGAGTATTTTTTCTTGTCAATGTCAGAGTCTGGACTCTAGATCCAATGCGTTTTTTTTTTCCAGTGCACTCTGAACGAAAAATATGCGTCAGAAAATGTTTAACATTTGTAAAATAAGTGTGATGTGTGTTGCAGAGCGGGGGTTCGTAAGGCGTGAGGATGTCCGGGCTAGGGGCGGGCGGTGGTGCGGGGGGCGGGGGCGTGGGCGGAGGGGCGCCAGGGCTGGGGGCGGGCGGGGCGCTGATGAAGAGCGTCTCGCTGTTCCTGTCGAGCGGGCGGCGCGGGTCTGGCAGTCAGCGGACAGGGCTCGACGACCCCGGAGCCAGCTCCCTGGAGGCCCAGCTCGCGGACCCCTCGAGGCGCCCCCGCAACCGCCGCTCCTGCAAGATGAGCGACGACCCCAAGGCCCAGGCCCAGGGCAACGGGCAGCTCCTCCCCAAGGTCCGACGGGTCGCCACCAGCAACAAGAACACCGCCAAGATGATCGACTCCTTCAAGAAGCAGACGCATTTCACACGGTAAATCATTCACCATTTATCAGGGTTGCCGCAGAATTTAGAAAAACGAAATTCCCTAACATTTTTCTGACATTTCCCTGATTTCCCCGACCACTGAAAAAAAAGTATGGTAGTATCTACTTTAAGTTTACTTCACTCAAAAAAAGATATGACTCTCAGACCCATAAAAAATGGCTCGGAGATCCATAATTTCTAACCAAAGTGACTTACCGGCTACAGTATGGCTTTCTGAGCCATACTAAATTGGTCGCGAACCTATAAGCATGGCTCCAAGAACTATACTTCATGGCTCCATGATCCATAACTCGGCCGGCAAGTCACTCTTCCCATACTTGTTCTTTGAATGTTGATTTTTTACACAGTAATACTATTTAGTAGAAATAACCACAATTATAGTAGTATTCACCAGAACTTAGGCGATACTTACAATAATATGGTAAGTGCTCCCATAGAGTCTACCATATTCGTATCACTGTGTCAGATTATGGTAAAATCTACAATATTTTTTTTTCAGTGCAACGTTTTAGTGAAATTCCTTGACAAATGAGGATAAGCCAGATGGTTAAAAATATATAACTAGAAATATTTTTCAAGCAAAATTGTCGTTCGAAAAGCCAAACCCATACTAAGAGGCAAATAAAGGTGACTTGATCCTCACATTTTCCATTTTCCCCTGACTTCTTAAAATACCCTGACATTTTCTAGTTTTCCCAGTATTCCCTGACTGTGGCAACCCTGATTTATTCTTCACCGTCGAGTTTTTGCACGACAAAGCACAAGCGTTAGCCACATATCGACGGTGAAACTACCAAACCACGTATCTCGTTTGCGGTGCTTAAAAATCTACGCTCACATTTTATTTTTTTGAAGTAGACCAAATCAATATCATTCCTTGAAATTTTCACGGAATTTTTTCTGCACAAAGAGGAAAAATCACAGAAATTTTCAATACTGGATGTTAAGTAGTTTTTCATTTAAAAAATAAAGTATGACAGGAAGTCTGCGACGTCGCAAACCGAGATACGTGGTTTGGTAGTTTCACCGTCGATATAGCCTTTGATACGAGTAATTTTCTGTTCTGTCATACAATGTCCGCTGTACACTGAACTCTTAGTTCTGGCAATGTAGAAACAGCATGCACCGGAAGGATTCTGAAATCATTGAGAAACCTTGGACCCAGTAGGTTTGCATTTTTATGCGCTTAGCTGATAGAGAGTGTTTTTCCCTTTCCGCCTGTTCAATAGCGCACCAACTCACTCATGAAATGTCAAAAACTACGTTTATAGTAAGGATAGATAAACCTTTTGTACTTATCCTTTTGTGGATTATTTTGACGTCAAAGAGTGGAGGACCTTGATCACTTGTATAAAACTGACTTTTTTGAAGATGATGTCCGAAAATATGGAAAAATACGCGAGTTCTCTCAATGACTTAGGGTCGTATTCTTAGACATTAGTCTTCCTTAACCAATGAAAGTCTAACAACTTAATGAAGCCTTATGTATGAAAATGACCTCGGTTTATTTTGGGGTCATAAGACAGCGAGGTAAAAATTTGCTTGCATATACTAAAGGAGTTGCTGCATACGTGAGTGTCAATTTGTTTAAAATCACGGGCAAACTATAAGAGATGGAAAAGTATTTTTAAATAAAAGTGAATTTTTTGAGGGCTAAGCAGTAGTGCAATTTCTCTTTAAAATATCCCTAAACGCTGAGCGCTTGTATCAAAGCTTCTTGCCCAATTTTTGCTTTCTTTTTTTCGTTTTTGGCCCTCCTTTTTCTTAAAGGTACCTACCTCTTCCTAAAGTACACATTCAAACATGAGACCAACACACCTGATATGTTAGGGAATACAAATGAAATCCTAGCATCTATGCTTTAATTTATTAATCGTATTTACGTGAATACATAGTATAATTCACTCATTTTTTCCTGAAACCAAACTGTCAAACCATGATGACTTTTCCAGTATTTCAGCTTTACGACGGTTGAGGGTTACTGGATAACTATGACATCTTTAAAATTTCTGCATTCTTCCGATTCCTGAAAATAGTGAACGAGTTACAAATAAAGGATTTCCTATTTTCTCCCTCATTCTGAGTTATCTCCTCATAATCATGCATTATCAATGCTCACTCTGCCGTGCTGAGGAAGAACGCCGTATGAGCCTTCAGACGTTGCCAAATTTCCTTTGATAAAACACTAATTTCCTTGCAAACTTGCGAATATTTTCCTTCCAATTTTTCAGATAATTTTGTTCGAAAGTTCTTGAAACTGTCAAGAAAAAAAAATCATAATTTTCCTTAAAAATAAACATTTTATCGGAGAAAATTTGGCAACTCTCAAATGTCCATACGGCGTTTTTCCCTACAACGGCAGCACTGAAGATTGACGTATCATTCTGACGTGCTATGGGAAAACGGTGAATCTTGGGTCGATAAACAAACCACTTAAATCCTATGACGGTCGAGTGATGGTGACGTAACATTTTGTCATGAACTCGAAGCTGACTAGCGGCAAATATGCAGTTTAGAATTAATGACTGTGAGAAGTGAGAAATCGAACCATAGGTGTACGCACGAGGTCGTGCGGGCTCCTATTCCAGAGAAATTCCTGGAGGAAGTACTGAAGACCACGTGTTTTCTTTCTTTTTTCCAAGGCGGATAAAGAAACTTCATCTTTCACCAGAATTTTTGTTTCGTATATTCCTTCCGGGGCCGAATTTTGACGGCTTTTCCACACGGAGTGCAACAGCCATCGATGAGTTCAAACCGCACCACAGGCCAATCAGAAGCGGTAAGCTGGACTTAAGTGCAGTCGAGACCCGTCCTAAGTATATTTAAGTACGGTGGAAGGACCGACAAAATTCGGCCCCATTTTTGTGTTTTGTCATTTCAAGTCTGTTTCGTATTTTCTTCTTAATTTTATTAAAAAAAAAAAAAAATCTGAACTCTGATTGGATCATGCTTTCACCGATCATCGGCATCACTCAGCATTCACCAATTCGTTTGATGAATGATATTCGATCGCGAAAATTCGTCTAAAACTACTCAAGACTTCTTACAAAAAGTCTTCGTACGCATCGCATTTTTCCACCTATCAGAATTCGCATCTGGATCGATTTAATTCGATAGATTCACTCGGATTCCGGAAATTTGAAGGCGTCGCGGGAACCGGAAATGACTGTCGTCGACCGGAAATGGCTAACCTCTTGTTTCCGGATCCAGCTGGAATTGAATTTACAGGCAATTAGGGTGAATTAGGTTCGGCTTAACGCGAGGTTCACACGAGACCCCATCCCGAGTTCTGCTCGCGAAAATCGATTCTTCGGTCGGCGAAAAACTTACAACTTTCTTAACGAAATCACACTTACAGCCGCCCCCCGTNCCTTCCGCAAGCCCCCCACCCTTTCACCCGTCTTTAATTCCGACTCAAAATCGAGCATTCGCGTGCCGAACGGCGGTTCTTAAATTCTCCCCGCGAAAATCTGCAAAGACAATTATGGATAATACGTACACAAAAGCTTGCCCCGACAAATATTCCCGAGCGTGTTTAACCTATAAAACTGTAATTGAAGCAACTTCCTCGGTCAAATGGCGCATAAGACTTACAATACTGCTGGCTTCAAGTAAGTTACGAGAACAGAACCCTCTTTTTGCACGAAACTGAATTGAACCACTCCTGACGGAACTTACTACTTGGGATACCGCTGCATTTTTAATCTCTGATATTGAAGTTTTGACCCGAATTGATGCCGTAGAGTTTTTGCCTCGGAGAACATGGGTTTCTTTCGTTGGCGGATCCAGCAAATTGGCAACATGATTTTTTCCCCTTTTAAACCTATGGAAATTTATCAATTCTTGTAGGGGTCAGGTGTTCTGACAATAATCGATTATTTAACATAGGTTTAAATGGAGGAAATTCGGTGTTGCCAAATTGTTGGATCCGCCTCTGGTTTCCTCTCCTTTCCTGAAGACGCTCACAATAGAAAATTAAGTAGGTAAAACTACGGAAATAAAAATCATAATCGTAGTGTTTCAACATTTCGCTCCTTTTCAATTTTTTTTAGGAGATTCTAGCACAAACCTTAAGCAAAGTTTTTAGAAAAGTAGAATTTGATGGGAAATCTACGATGCAGAAACTCCGATACCATATATTCATCAGCATTTTTTCAAGAAAATTGCGTGATCATTTTGAAATGTTTTAACATTTTCGTTTGATTGCATTTATTGTAATAAAACACGCTGTGTTAATGACACAACGCCTGAATACAACTATTCGTACTCAATAGTTGTTAGTGTTGCATATAGATACAGTTGAAGGCGTTCTGTCTTTTGAGGCCCTTTTGGATTACTACACGGCGGCGCGCCGTCCTAAATAATTTAAAATGATAATTCTGGCAGAGATGAATATTAAGAGGACCAGATTTGGCGCTCTAGATGCAATTTGCTTAACCGTGAAACCGTCTCTGCAAAAAATATCTAATATTTCGAAATCAGGACTATTCTAAACTCTTTATCTCGCGCTGGTTCACAGAAGGACTCATTTTAAAATATTCATCGAGGACCCGGCGCAAGTAGTAGTTACTAAATTTTAAACCGAGCTTCCTGCTCATTTTCGAATATTAATATGAAGCGGTTGAATCACCCTAGAAATAAAATAAAGTTTGCGAACTACGTTTCACGCTTTGACCGGCTGCAGAGGAAACCAAACTGTGAACTTTCAAGCGCTTGAAACTTACCTCATTTTCTCACCCTGGGATGACAGCCGGGGAAAACTTTCTAGTTGAAAAGTATGCAGACTAAGCTAAGACACATCGAGTCTAATCCAAAAATATACCGAGTTCTCTATGGATGAGTATGAAGCTTAGAGGACTAAACTTGATAAGAATTCTTAGCAAAGTTTAATGAGAAAGTTAAACACAACGGAAAAGCCTTCCAGTTTTTTCATACCTCGTCCAATCCTTAAACTTGATTCGAAAATTATCCGTAGTGTCAGGATT